GCTTGACAGTTGTCAGTGAAAGTAAAGTCGCTTCAGGGACCTTTAAATATTTTGTTTACGTGTTTGCACATGTTCTTAGTCACCCAGAAATAGTTAAGTCTGATCAATAACAACTATTACATTTCCCTTCCTTGGAGGGCATCCATTCCATCTGCCCCCCTCATCCTCGCTGTTTCCTCCACAATCTGTCTGCTCTTTTCTTGGCCAGCATCCTTGTCCAGGCCGGTGCTGAGGGAGCATCTCTGGAACAGAGATAGGGATTTGGAAAGCAGCCAGTTCTCTCTTCCTGCCAGCCTCTTTGCTAACCACTGAGCCATCAAAATCCCATCAGGGCTCCTTGAAAGGACACAGAGTCCATTTAACAGGGGTGCCGATTCATTAAGGCATAAAACAATCTGGCTCAGGAACAAGAAGAGACAATGAATTTGCCTTCCATCACGCAAAGATGCCATCTGAGGATGCATCGCTGGTTGGTCAAAGGGACATTTAAGTAGTCTTCCCATCTCCACTTGCAGACTTACCCGAGAAGCACTTGTATCTCTGCCCTGCAGGAGGTGCGACACTAGCCTATACAGGTGGACTGTCTTGCTTTGATCAGTTGGCTCCTTTGGGCAATGGCCAACAAGTTGTTGGCTGCAATTTTAAATGGTCATCTGTACCTGGTTCAGAGTGTAGTCTTGTCTGGGGGAGCAGTTATTCCAATTCAAAATGTATCTGGGGTGCCAGGGGAATGGTAGAGAAAGCATGAATAACAAGAAAATCAAAGTCCACTTGTCCAAAGCAAAGGGGAGACATCCATGAATGGTGTCAATTTAGGCATTAATAGATTCTAGGAGAGTAGAAGTAAGTAGCAATAGCACAGACTTCTATACTGCTTCACAGTGCTTTACAGTCCTCTCTAAGCGGTTTACAGAGTTAGCCTATTGCCCCAATCATCTGGATCCTCATTTTACCAACCTTGAAAGGATGGAAATTCTAGGAGAGTAGAAGTAAGTAGCAATAGCACAGACTTCTATACTGCTTCACAGTGCTTTACAGTCCTCTCTAAGCGGTTTACAGAGTCAGCTTATTGCCCCAATCATCTGGATCCTCATTTTATCAACCTTGAAAGGATGAGTCAATCTTGAGCTGGTCAGAATCGAACTGCAGGCAGCTGGCAGTCAACAGAAGTAACCTGCAGTACTGCATTCTAACCACTGCGCCACCACAGCTCAAGACTGGCTGGAGCAGCTAAAAGTAGTTAATACAAACTGGACAGATCTTAGCCTTGTCTCACCAGAAACCTAGTTATTATGTGCCACACATCATCCAAATACAAGTAGTCCTTCACTTACAACAGTTGTTTTAGTGACCATTCAAAGTTAACAACGGGATTGAAAAAAGTGACTTGTGACCATTTTTTATACCTATAACCATTGCAGCATCCCCATGGTCACGTGATCAAAATTCAGATGCTTGGGAACTGACTCATATTTATGATGGCTGCAGGGTGTCCTGGGGTCATACGACCACCTTCCATGACCTTCTGACAAGCAAAGTCAATGGGCAAGCCAGATTCACTTAACAAACTGTGTTATTAACTTAATGGTGGCCAGAAAAGTCGTAAAATGGGGCAAATCTCACTTGGCAAACATTTCATTTAACAACAGAAATGTTGGCCTCAACATTTGGATCATAAGTCGAGGACTACCTGTAGTAAGGCCTGTGTTGGGAGGAGATGGAAAGAACACTTGAATTTCAGCTTAGAAAAATATAAAGTTAGTTATCCTTCTCTGAGGGGTGGGGCTGAAAGGAATTTTATGTCAGTTAGGCCATGTCCTTCAAGAACGGTTATCCAGGCAACCTCAAACGGAAGTTAGTGGGACATGCTGATGTATCCAAAGACTCTTCCATATTTTCACCAAATGATGTATCTCCAAAGTCTATGATGTGGTGAAAAGGAATCACACCAATTAAAGCCACTTATCATGTATTATATGAGTATAGCCTCTGCTGGGCAGGAGGTTTAGTGGCCCCTGATCAGTAAGAAGCAGGAATAAGTAGTTGCAGAGATACAGACAGCTTGCAGGGTAACAAAGGCAGGAATAATTGGAACAGAATATTCCTTTAAAGAATATGTAGTAATGTGAGATGCAAAATGTCTTAGTAGCTTTCTATGTGAGTCAAAGAAAACACTAGTAAGAAAGCTTTCTGGCTTTTTTTCATTGCACAGATCGGCAATCAAGCTAGATGGTGCACACAATTATGTGCAATCAGTAGGCTGAAAGTGATATCGAGATGAGGCAAAAGCTGTTTGTAGTTTGCTCAAATCATAACTGATGAAAAGCTATTCATTCCCTCCAGACATGTGTTATGGCCTGCTAGCTCCTTGACAACCTCTGGTCTCCCCTGCCATAATCTCCACAAAGGAGGTTTATTGAGTTCATAACCATCCATCCATGGCCAAGGGCTGTTTTTTTACAATCTAAGTAGGACCATGTTCTGCTGTATTTGGTGACAATTCAGATCTAAAGTCTTGCAAGCAGCTCTCCAAATTCTGCCATTCGTAGACCTCTCAAATTTAGGGGTAGGACGGTATCGTTAAAAATACACAGGTGCAGTTTTTCGGGCCTGCTTAGCATTTTCCTGCAGGCATCACTCCTAGTGAGGTATATGGGTGGTACCATCTTTTCAAGCAATTAAACTAGAGCAAAGTCATGATTAGCAGGTTTGCCCAAGCGATGATGGGGAGGGCACACATTTGCTCTCCCTCTGCCGTGCAGCTTGCCCAGAGAAAGAGGAGGGAATTTTGCCAGATGGTTGCCTGCGCTCCCTTAGGTAAAAAGAGAGCACAGACATAGCCATCTGACCGACTTGCTCCCTTTGTCTCCCTCCCTCCTCTGTGCAAGAAAAGAGGGGGAGGGTGAGTTGTGTCAAGTGGTTAAAACTCACACTCCTCCTTTCTCAATCTGGACAAGCTTCCTTCTGGGATTTTTTGGTAAACCAGCCAGGCTGCCTCGGTCAAAATGCAAAATTGGACTATTCTCAGTCCAAGGGCACATGGGATAATCCGAGATCCATTGACTTTGCTTGTCAGAGGGTTGCAAAAGACGACCACGTGTCATAAATATGAGTTAGTTACCCTGCTTCTGAATTCTGATCACGTGACCATGGAGATGCTGCACTGGTTGTAAGTGTGAAAAGTCGTAAGTCAGTTTTCAGTACCGTTGTAGCTTTGAATGGTCACTAAGTGAACTGTTGTAAGTCGAGGACTACCTGTATGACAAATGCTGTGTGGAAACAAGGACAGAAAGCTTCACTGAAATTTTAATTGTATCTGGAAAATGTGGGTGGTGTTGAAATATGTTGGAATCCTTTCTAACAAGCCAGCTTGGTCACCATTCATTTATACATGAGCTGGGGTTCTTGCTCATTGTTTGAACCAAGTATTGTCAATTCTAGATCATGTTTCTCAACTTTAAGATGTGTGGACTTCAACTCCTAGCAAGACTGGCTAGGGAATTCTGGGAATTGAAGTCCACACATCTTAAAGCTTGAGAAACACTGATCTAAATACTATTTCTGAGACGTTACAGTGGAGAAAAATCCAACCATAAGAAAGGCTGAGCCGTTGATAACTCAGAGGTAATGTTATATGTTCCAGACTCAAAGAACATTCGCATATGGCATTTGCGCTGTTCCCAGATTGTGTCTGTGCTCTTGTAGCCGCATAACATCATCTTTACTTCATACTGGAGCTAAATGATTTCCCAGTTCACTTGCTGTTCAACTGCTAATATCACCATTTCAGTTTCCTAGTAAAAGTGCTGAAATTCTGTGACTCTTGGAGATGGGGCATTTCGCATTGTCAAGAACTTTGCTCTATCTGTTCCTGGACTTTGTCTTTTCCCCACAGAGGTTAAACTATTATAGTTTCATGGGATTTACCCCCTTACTGTTTTAATAAAAGGGGCCTAGAAATGCCACCTTAGTAGCTTTGCTGCTGGTACTGAACGTGAAACCTTAGACCTTTTAAATGCCAATCAAAAGAGAGGGAGAAGGGCAACAATAACTGGATGCTGCTTTTTGTGTTTTTCTATTTAGGGTCAGAAAGGAGCACTGATTGTCTCCCGGGGCATCCTCTGCATTTTAAACTCAGTAGCGCTGAAATGAGAATAGGTCAGCTTGAATCTCTTTTGCTGTAGTCTTGGAGAACATATACAAGTAGTGCTATGGAAAGTCTCTTTTCTCAAATGCCCTGTTTTTCATGTCTGGCTCAATTCTCCTGGTATGAGTTGGCTGGCTTCATTGGCAAGTAAAGCTTTGCACTCGCCTTGCAAACTGGGATAGGAAAAACTTCCATCATAGATTGCCAATCTGGCCAGATCAAAAAAAAAAAAAGGAAAGGAACAGAACTGTCCTTTCCCCTTTTGTTTTCCTTACAGTCCCCCCCCCAAACACAATTTGGTCTCCTTAGCAGCAAAACTGTTTTCATTAAGATTTGTATAATGCCATAGATATTGAATTGGTAATTGATGTAACAGCACATAACTAACATTTTTCCCTTGGCCAGAAGGACTTCAAGATTCATAGCAAGTGCAGTCCAACTCCATCTTATAATCCTACTGAAAAAAAGGCTGAAGGGCCTTTCCTTCTAACAGCATTTGTTTCAACTGTGCTCATAATATTCAGCCTCTTCCTGGGGGTAGCCTGAGCATCATCACTAAGGCAAGAAGATTTAATGATGGCCCTTGTAGACACCAACTCTTTTGCTCCTTTTTCTTGGCTTCCTAGAGAACGCTCTCCAAGATAATGCCCACATACCAGAGAAAGGGCTGATACAGTAAAGCATGTTCTCCTCTTTGGACAACACAAGTGGGAGAAACAGATGGTTGGCAATTCCAGCTGCTTAAGTTTTGTTACTTGAGTTGGAGAGTAGCTTCGTTGTTCCATCGGGTGAACCCAGTGTCCCTCCCTCCCTCCCATCTTCAGCCAATGAATCACACTGAATGCATTTGGTGGTTGGTTGTTTTTTGTTGTTTTTTTGAAAGTTTTAAATGAAAAGGAAATAATTTTATTACATGCGGTAACCTCGGCATGTCAGCTCATGCAGACACTACTATGTCCCAGAGATTGAAGACCAGAGGACATGGGAGACATGGGAGGATGGTGTGCTGAGAGGGGAGAAAGCAGAGTGAGTGGAACAGAACAATGAGGAACATAACAAAGATCTTTGCAAAATTAACAAAAATCTGAACTGCACCTCCTTCTCAATGACCCTCAAGGGGAGGTGCAAAGGAATGGGAATAGGGCCAGATCTTAAGGAGTTTTCAGAAGAACCTAGCCCCAACCCTTATCCAGGAGTCCCTTGTAGCACCAGAGTTGAGTGGCAATGAAAGGAAAGGAAGAATCGGTGATGGCAAGCAGTTAAAACCAAGTGGCCCAATGGTTTCTTGTTTCAAGAGGTCTGGATTTTGCTGGTTAATCTCTCCTCCCTCTCAGAGCAAACTGAAATTCAAGACCAATGAGGCATCCGGGTGGGAAGGGACAGAAGGTGATGATGAAAAATCAGAAAGGTGGAAGAAAAAGAATGGATCTTGTACACCAAATACATTATACAGTAGATGGGTTATTGCTTCATGCTGGAGTCACAGGATGATGAAGCAAAATGGAAAAGAGCATAGTGGAAACATAAATCAGTGTTGATCTGCCCTGCATATCCATCGATATATGGATCTGGATAACTTGATAAGCCTCGGAGAATATTAGCATGGATGGATAGAAATCATGATCTGTATTTCTGAAATAATATGGTAAATTACCATACATTACCATCACGGCCTGCCTTTAGAAATTAGTGACATCTGCATCTCTTACTATTGCTTATCAGGTAGATTTCATCTTAATTAAGATGTTGATGTTTGTTAACTAGAAAATAAAAAACATTGTTATGAAAACTAGAAGGGACTGATGGAGAATGAAATTTTGGACTGGTTGGTTGCTTGTATAGAGGGAAATGTGTTTGTTAGAATGAGAGGGATGAAGAAAAATATGGACCAATTTTGACTTAGAATGAGTAATTTCTCTGACTTTAAATTATAATGGAGGGAGAGAAGTAGGAAGAGAGTTGGTTAAGGTGAAAGAGGATTAGCTGGCTTTTGAAGGATTGGTGCCCCATGTGCCCTGTCACCACAAGGCAAAACATGTGAATTCACATTTGTGTTCCGGAAGCTTCTGTTATCTGGAGGGGCGGGTGATGCGGACTGATTTTATTGCTTTCTGTATGAGATTGACCTGGAGGTATTTCTCCTATTAAGAGAGCAAGTGCAGAGCTTGGCGAAGAACAGGCTGTATAAATGACTTTGAAAGAGGGCCGAAAGAAACCTCTTGAAGTGCAGCCCCAAATGGCTGCCTTTCTGTCCTTATAGCCCAGCAGCCGGAACATTAAATGGTTGATGACAGTTGCAAAATAGGAAACTGAGGGCCTGAATTGCATGACTATGCATCCCCCCTTATATAATTTACATTTTGAGCATGTCTGCTGTTGGGAAGCTCAGACACAGTGATTGAACACAACAATGTGATGCAGGAGAGTCCAGATTCACTTCCTACAGCTATAGGCAAGGTGAGAAAAAAACCCTTGCTGCAAATTCTGGGTCTCATTCAAGGTCAACAACACTGATTGAGAAGGATTGATGGACAAAGTCAATATAAGATAGCTTCCTATTCCCTTTGATTTTTACTCTGTGTATACATACAGATACACATACATGTCCATATCTCTATTGGGTTGTATATATGTGGAAGAAGGGCATTGTCAACATCAGAGAACTGAAGCCTGGTTCAATAATAATTACTTTTCTCTAGAGAAATCGTACAATGGTAATCCTATGAATTGAAAATGGGAGATTTCAAACAAAGCTGTCTTAGCATCCTTAAAAGGTCATAACTCCCAAAATTCTTTGAAAGATGCCATGACAGCAAAGCTCTGTAAAACCAAGGTGAAGATTAAAGTATGAATAGGTCCTGATGATGTAATTCAATATTATGTGGGCAAATGTATAAGTCATCAGCCCAGGCTTTGCATAGATGCGTTGAACTGATGTAAATGCATGGGCTATACACCTCTGGGTATTGCCCCAAGTTTGAGTAGTGATTATGAAACAATGACTGGGATAATTCATGTTACCCAGACATTAATGCACCATAAGCCCAAGCCAGTGATGTGTTAAGAGCATGGCTTCTCCTAAGGAGCTCCAAGAAGTTGAATTTCTCTGTTCTAGACTTTCTTTGCTATCCTTGAACTATAATTCCCTGTGGGAAGCCATGAAAAAAGAACCATTAATGCTCTGATGATCTTACCTAGTTGGGTAATGAAATGTCTGCAAGTGAACAGCCAAGCTCAGAGAACACCAAGAAGTTGCTATTAAGAGGTCTTTTGCAGGCAATGATACTAAACACATGGGGTAAATTCTTAGAAGGAGCTAAACTGAGTCAGTTTGAATGTGACAAAAGATAGACATGAAACATGTCTTGCTTCTGTGATGTATCTTCTGGGAAGTATATTCTTTGAAATGAATAGGACTGAAGCGGCTGCATAGTTATCTATTCTAACTGGATCCTATCAACTTCTTTCTTTTTTCCTTTTAAAAGATATTCTGGTCATTCTTTTTTAGCTTCAAGACAAGCTGGAATATGCAGGAGAGAAAATACGTTGTATCTCTCTTTGGAATCTGGAATGATTTGAGAGTGTGTGAAATGAACATGGATAACATTTCAGTCCTTAGAAAATCTCCTCAAGAAGCTGATAGAAGCTGAAAATAGATGGTAAAGACTTCCGTACAGCAACACGCAAATTGCTCAACAGACACCCTGCAGGTTAAACAGTTTTATTGAAGTGATAATTCTACTCCCCCTGAAAGCCGCTGCTACAATAACATTGTTTGATCATATCCAAATCAGATATTTAAACAAGTTAAATATTTAGCAGGGAATTTGTAATCCTCTAAAAGGAGAAAGCATATAATCTTCACCAAAGTAAAATACATTTGGGGAAGCCATCCTTGTCAATCACCATAAATATGACCAATATGAATTTGCAATGATCTTCACTTTAAATTATGATATGATTTTAAATCTCATCAAAATGAGATTCTGTTTTGCAAAAGAAAATGAATATGGTACTTCTGTAGGATGAAAAAGAATGGATACTAGGGTATGTTTAGGTGTGATGTTTTGTGTCGGGGTAAACAGATAATGGGTTGAGGGGGACAAAACAGAGGATCCAATACATTAATACAAACTTGAATTTTGTTCCTTTGACTCGCCAACCCCCTCCCCAACAATTAATAATTTAACATTTAAGAATTCTAAACATTTTTGGAACATCAATTCTACGTGAAGGAAGAAAATACCACGGGATATCAAGCAGACATTTGCATCTCTAAACGAAAAAACATTAATTGTACCAATTAACTCTCCCCCTTGACATATTTAATTTTTTCCTGCCCGATTTCTTTTTAGAATAATCAAATAAATTTTTTCTTTTTAAAAAGGTTGACATTTCTGGAAATTGAATGATTGGAACATAATTTATTTTGGAGGATTCAGTATCACCTACATTGAATAAAGAAGTAAAATGTACATTCAAGTTTCAAGGCATTAAAATAGAGCTTTCTGTATTAAAGCTTCCAATAGGGGATGAAACATAGATAAATATTATTTAAATTGTATATTTTCAGGGAGTAAAAGTTAATAGTTTCATTTTTTTTCTTGAATTAGAAAAACTATAAAACATTTTTGTCCTCTTTGACCTGGTTTAATATTTTTGCTCATTGTGAGCAGAAGAAATAATTTCATTTGGGAGAAAAACACTGTGAAAATCACAAAGAAAACTTTCTCATGTGTATGTATGTATGTATGTATGTATGTATGTATGTATGTATGTATGTATGTATGTATATTTGGCAAAAGAACACCACTCTGTGCTTTTACCACCTGCATCCTTCATGATTCTTCTCCCCTTGACTGCCCCCATGAAATCCTTTTGCCTCCGTTACAGTGTTCTTTTTTTAAAAAATATTTCTCTGGCAACTGGATGGGGGAAAAAGGGATTTATGAAAAAATAGCATCAATTTCAGTTTTTTAAAATTATAATTACTATAATACATCTGTTTTGAAAAAATAGTTCTGTGTCCCTCCCCCATTGTCCCTGAGCCCACCCATCATCAACAACTTTTGGCACCAACTTTTGCCAAACCTAAGCCTCACTGCCAAACCAGCAGTGGGGGAAAAATCACATTTCCACTCCCCACCCACCCAAACCCAGTCTTTCCTGAGTCAAAAGTCACCCGTCTTTCCTCTATCTTTTTCCCACCCTTGCTCCTAATTTCATATAACACTGGGGAGAAGCATTGCTGGAAAGACAGTGGTAGAACACAACATATTTCTTCTGAAGATATTCTCTATTCTTCCTACTCCTTTTAAGACGTCACATTGCGCCTAAACATTGCAAGAGCAGGGCAATTGTCTACCTCCTATTAGCCACTTTGTAGGAATGCATCTAAAGTCATCTAGCAAAGGTGAGGAGGAGATTGTCTTGTAGCAGACGCAGCCAGTCAGTCACCTCCACAGACACACAAATAGAGGGTTTTTTTTCAGTGTAGCAGGGGATTGACAGAGCTAAGGAAAACACTTGCTAAAAAACAGCCTGACTTTTACACGTACAGATTATGATTGTGACTTCAATTTACTACTAGGCAAAAATGTTATCTGTCAGGTAGAATGAAAGCTAGGGCTAATCTGGCAACAAAGAGATAGAATTTAGCAAAACCCCTCCATTCTTAGATAGACATTCATAAAGATTGATTTGTATGAAAAATTTAGTCATTCATGGTCAGCTCTTGCGCTCTAGAAGGCTTGACTCTATCTTACATGTTATCAGATGGCTGAAGCCCCTTGTCTCTGGCAGCACATTCAAACACACAATAAAGATCAGTACAGTAGACTTCTGTTCTGCCTCAACACCAAGAAATGCATGGATTCAGAGGTACTGATCCATTAAGTGCTAGCTGGAGAAGCAGACCTATGAAAGATTAAAATATGCATGGACATATCCATTATACAGAATAACAGAGTTGGAAGGGACCTTGTAGGTCATCTAGTCCAACCCCCTGCTCAAGTAGGAGACCCTATACCATTTCTGACGTGGCTGTCCAGTCTCTTCTTGAAAGTACTCACAACTTCTGAAGGCAAGCTGCTCCACTGGTTAATTCTCCTGTTTTCACCTTGCACTATAACCTCACTTAACAGCTGCAATGCCATCTCAATGCTGCAAGTGATGTGAATGAAAGATTGTGATATTGGGTTATATCAGTGACTGTGAAGACATCTCTTGGTTTGAACATTATCCCTGATGAAAATAAAAAGAAGTTCAAGTGGAAAAAAATGAGTTTTGGACTGGACTGGTTCCTCTAGAAGTTTTTGATTGGAAGAAATATCGTTCAAAGTTCTAGGCCTCAACCATTAGCCTGCTTGCAGACTAATTAGCTGATGATTTTTGAGAACAAAAATGGACAAAGGAATATATACAACTAACACGAGGGCTTTCCTGGAGTTGATTGCTATTTTGTTTAAGTAGATGCTTCTCTATTGTTAAATCTGATTCTTTTTTCTCTTGCAAGATCTGTAGAAAAAAAGGAATATTTCTGAATGTGTGCAGAATGCCTTTCCTTTGCAAATTCTTGTCCTTGTGATCAAAATTTGGACTAAGATAAATTTCTAGAAAATGATAGCTACTTTTTGCATACACTTTCACTCTTGCTCAGGCTTTAGCCACTTCCCCATTTATTTATCCATCTATGTAAAAAGAGGATAATCTGCTGCTGTTATTGTCTGTTTGTTTAGTATGACACACACCTTCTGTGTATTTATTTTAAATTGGAATTTGGGGAGAAAAGTGACATTCATCCAGACTTAAAGCATCTCTATATACCAAAACATGATTATTTTAGCCCAATTTGTCCAACCTTACAACTTACAGGTTCATCATATAGGGCAGGGATGGGCAACTATGACCCCTTTACATCCCGTGGATTTCAATTCCTGGCTGGCTCAGAAATTCTGGGAGTTGAAGTCCATGGGTTGTAAAAGGCCCATGGTGGCCTACTCCTGATATAGACTGCACTTCCCTTTTTTATAAGAAAGAGGAGAATCAGGAAATTGGCAATTCATATTAGTGTAGGAAAGGCACTCTGTACATACACAGAGGAATTATTTATGAGATTCTGAGGCAAGAATGACAAACTCTGATCAAAAAGAAGACTTATGCATAACCATTCATAAGTGATAGGCAGTTCACAAATATATTGTTGATATGTCTGTACTTACAAACACGCAAATATCCAATTAATTAGAAATTAAATTGCACAGGTTGAATGTTCACTCCTTTTCAAGGCACAATTAAAGCCATGATTTGGACATTGTGAACTCAACAATATGACGATCCACCATCTCTGAAGATCCACCATAACTGGAACCTCCTCCTGATTCATTCATTAGTACTATTCCAGTTTTCCTCATTTTTCTTCCATTTACATCTCTTCTCTAAACCAAAAGGATAGAGAAAACACTAGCAGGACTTTCTTCAGGACCGATGGCATCATTCAAATTCTTAAATATCCAACCTTCCTCATTTGAAACTGCAAATTCTTATGACAGCAATGGGTCTCTTGCATATGGAAAATGGAAAAATTAGCATGATGTGACAAGTTCAAAAATGGTTTATTAAAAATGCTGCCATCATTTAATTCACTGATTTTCTAAACATCTCAGAAAGATCACTGTCATGTATTTCATGATTTTTTACTTTGTGCTTATATTTGAATTCAAATGTACGTTTCTATTGTGGTAGAGGGTCAGAAGCGACAACAGTATTTTACATGTGGAAAATATTACTGACATTTTACATTTCCAGATTATTTCCTTTGGAAAAGTTTCTACTTTTTTCTGTGATTTGGAATAGTTAAAAAAAAACAACTCTCAAACCTGACCATTTCTTGCAAATAGACTACATGGTATAATTAGTTTTTTTTAATGAAAATTATTTCTTTTCTTGCCTCAGTGATAGTGAATTAAGTAGCCACAAATGTCCTCGTTTAAAAGACATCCAAACATTTTGAGAAGGCTCAAAATGTTTCTGTTGACACATAAGTGACCAATGACTTCTCAAAAACAACCAAAAAGACCACAAGAAAAAAAATTATTCCAATGACAATATTTGAAATGGAAAAGCAAGGCAATGTTTTTGTTGCTAACATAATTCTTCATACAGAATGTGTATTTTTTCATCTTGTCAAGGAAGAAAATACTGCAAAGGAAGAGTGAAAAGAAATGACATAATAGAAAGTGATATTGATCTTTAAATGGTACTATGATTCATGCATATCAGTTTTACAAATATGTTATCTCAGGCTACTTATTCAGAGCCAATTATTTACTTGCAAAAGACATTATGACTCTCCTGGGCCTGCCCCAGTTTTGAATGCAAAGATGACTACAGAATTCTTGGCTGCAATATAAACTTTGTCTACCAATGTCAAGTTTATAGATTAGCTTATTTTACCTGACTTGCTAGTTTTCTACAAACAATAGTTTATAATATGGGCTTGCATTCAAATACACAGATCAAGTCCAGACAGATTGCTAAGCCCTAACAAATATTATTAGCTAAGATTCTCATGCATATTACTAATATAATCAGGAAAAATCAAGGACCTATTTTAATCTATTTCCAAAATTCCATGTTACTCAAGCCAGAGAGAATAGCAATTTTACAAGCCTGGGGAACATTCCTTCCACCACTCCATCTTTTGAAGTGGTACAATCCAGGAGAACTGGGTCACACAAACTGTCCTATGCAAACTCAATCAACGTCAATCAACTCTGACAAACCAGCCAAATCAAATTATACAAACGAAAGCAATTAAAATAAATGAAACTCTTGCTAAAGGAAGTTGCACTTCCACCCTGCTAAATGTGGTGGGTAGGGGACAGACGGTATTCAAAGTGCCACAAGGCAAAAATCCTAAATGAGCCTACATCATCCTCTTCTGTATCTACCTTTTAAAGGCAGAAGAGGAACTCTTGGTAGAAAAATCTACAATTAATGCAAACTTGATTTGTACGTAAGTCTTTTGCAGTTGGAATCTCTGGTTAGAAAGCCCATGTCCTGTCTTTTATTCTTAGTCATTCAGACCATTCAGACAATGAGAAGACAAAATGGCCATATCAGTGGAAAAGGAAAAATGTACATTATGTAGTCATATGAGTGTCCACTTAGAAACAATTAATACATTTATTTTTACAGTACTTACTAGATAGTACTGCATCCACCGAATTGCAGTTTTGACCATCACTTTCTTAAATTTAAGCCTCTTCATCGCCTCAGTCTCATTATAATGTACACAGGAAACGACATGTCCTTCAAAAAGATATATAGGTCAACATGACCAGAGTAACTACTGTCCCCATTTTGGAAACAGAACATGCACCACAAAAGGGAACATTTTTTAAAAAAATAGTCATCTGCATTAATTCATCCTTCCCATGTTTTTCCTATGTTCCCAACTGCTCTCCTGAATCTAGCCAGTTTTTATATTTTTATTTATTTTGCATAGAAATCGTTGCATAAAGAGCTTCCATCCTTTGAATTGTGCATGTCTGGGGAGGGGGGGGTGAGCTCAAACAGGCACCCACAAAAATATTTGCATAGTATGTAAGATGGGTATGTTTGATGAGGTGTGGTGGGCTGCTAAGGGGGGAGGGTTCCCTCTCTTTTTGTATGGGCATGGAAATCTTTAATGAAAAAGAAAAGTTTGAGAGCAAATTGGCTCATCATCTCTTATCATTAAATGCAATTTTAGGTACTTTCACTAGCTATGATTCTATGCTAAAAAAATTACTCTTTACAGGAACATACACTTTTCAAACAAGTCCCTGCAAATAAAAAAATAAAGATTGCAGAATAATAGTTGGCTAGGAATCCTTCTGCTTTAGTTTTTTGGGTGCTAAACCTTTTTTGTCTTTTCTTTTTCTTTACTACAGTCCTAAAGTGTCTAAAGTGGGATGCTACAGATATAATTTATAGCCATAGTATAACGTAGGATTGATATGTCATTGCTGGTATTTAATCTCATGAGAAAGTCTCCATGGATTTAAGGGCAATTTTCATTGCCAGAACAATTTGTGTGACATATTTAGCCATACTGGAAGACACAAGCCCTCTTTTTCTGCTAGAAGAAGAATCAGTCTGGCTCCCTCAAACTCCAATTTTTCAGGTAGACAGAGGATACTCATATAGGTGCAGCCATATTGATCTGAACCTAGTTGCATTCTTTTGGGGACGCTTTGGCTGGCTGGGGAATTCTGGGAGTTGAAATCCACACAGCTTCAAGCTGCCAAGGTTGAGAAACACTGCTCTGGAGACTAAAACTTTGTAGAACCACATTTGTAACATATTCACTTAGATTCTTACTTATCTGTGAGATCAAGTACAGTTGATACTCTTTTCTCCCATCATATGAAGACAGCTTTCATTTACCTGAATTCCAATATCACAAAATAAAATTCTATTTCTGCACCAGCATTTTCTCGAAAAAAAGTCCTACTGATCTGAAACAAAATTTCCACTATTGCTGAAGTCCAAAGAATCTAAAGTGAGTATGTTACAAATATGGTTCTACAAAGTTTTAGTCTCCAAAGCTATGTAAACTAGTCTGTGGTAGCCCATAAATTATGCTAACCACAAGTTCCAAATCGCATTATCACTGAATTGTTGATCATCTCTGAAGTTCTTCACAAGCATTCTAGAGTACAAAAACAAGGAAGTGGATTCTTTCATTGGTTATATTAGAATCAAAACTTTTAAATTAAAATGTGCTTGCTATTGGCATGATATTTTGGTGGCATATAATATCACTTGCGGCCTTCGACTATATAAAAGACTTTGGAACTAACTTATGATTGATTAAATCAAATTTTGATTAAATTATTAATTACCTTGGATTAATTCAGTGATATATTTTCCTATGAAATCATATGTAATTTAGGGGATGTGCAGGAGACAAATGAATGGAAGGAATTTTTTTTTGTTATTTCATCAATGTACTAAAATTTCATCTTTTTCAGCTTTCAGGACAATTTTGTTTCAATTGGCTATATAGCTTTTTCTTAACTGAGGGATTTTAATATGCTATGAAGGACAATTAATTTAATTTGATTGCTTTATTATTTACTGATTCTAATTATGCTGAGATAGCATAGGAGTTTAAAAATACAATAACTATTTCAACAGAAAACTTAATTTAATTATTATGCTACATAATTGACATATATTAAATGTAGGAACAATAACTTTATGGATGAAGAACAAACTGAAGAAACTCGATGATCATATTTAGTATTTTCTTACTTAGAAATTACAGGCTTATTTATCTAAGCTATGAAAATACACCTAAATATGTTTTATTTAATATCCTGCCTGGTTCAATTGGAATGACAAAATATATTGTGTACAATGAAATTTGCATATTTTCTCTCCTCATTCTATTTTGTAAATTCTGGGAGCTCTGAACCCTTGTTTTTGAACAAACCACAATTTCCTATCACATCTAAATTCATCTTTTAATAAAGTCCATCTAGAACAACTATGATTTCCAAGTTGAGATGTAATGGGGAACCATGATAAGTTTCAAAAAGTAGGTTAAAGAGGTCCTCATGTGCAGGAAGAGGAAAGGAAATCCTGAAGATTTTGCAAGTATAAATTTGCAACGCAAGGTCAAACAGTTTTTATTATATTTGAGTTTAATGGATATTCATCTAATTGTCACTGCATCTCATATATATTAATTTTTTTCATTGCAAAATCAATTATATGAGATATTCTTCATATCTATTGGAGACCAATTTATTGTTATAAAAATAAGTTACATTCATACGCGCACACACACACACACACAAACTAATTTAGCAACCTTGACTACATTATAAACCCTTCCATAAATTAGATCAGTCAAAAAATATTGTGAATTGGAACAATTTAAAAAACAGACTAAAAAAAAATGCTAACTATTCCTCACTCATACAAACATAGTGTAATAAGCCAAAATATACTTTTAGTCATTTCTGTCTCTTTACACTAATTTAAGAACCTATGCCCCATAGAGACATAAGAGACATAGAAATTCCTAGTTCAAGGAAAAAGGAAGGAAGGAAGGAAGGAAGGAAGGAAGGAAGGAAGGAAGGAAGGAAGGAAGGAAGGAAGGAAGGAGACTTCCAAATTTGTATTATGGAACAATAAAAAAGGAGAAAAAAAGTCTATATATTTGTTATCTCACTAAGCAGAGACAATATTCAAATACTTTGTCTCCATTTGCTACTCTGATAGTGAAGACTAGCATTTTTTTTTTTTTACAAATGATGATGTAGATTGGGCATTAGGTCAATATTTCAAGAAAACAAGGCCTTTTCAAGTTTCAATTGAGATAATAACATATTAACATAGACCTAGAATCTAGATAATGAATTCTTTTGATCTGATGGCATGTCAGAAAAGTGTACCTCATTTTATCTCAACTGTTCCCTATATTAGTCCCTTTGAGCTATTAAAATGTGGTAACTATTAGCTAGAGAGAAAAACCAGTTTATATAGCCATGGTCTTCTAAGCCAGAGTTTTTCAAACTAGGCAACTTTACTATATATTCAATATATTCAACTCCCAGATCTACTGACTGGGAAATTCTTGGGGTTGGAATCCAAACATCTTAAAATGACCAAGTTTAAAAAAATGCTGCTCTAAGCTAAACAATGTTTTTTTTTCTAATGCAGTGGTTCTCAACCTGTGGGTCGGGACCCCATTTGGGGTCGAACGACCATTTCACGGGGGTCGCCAAATAAGGCTGTCCGCCATTTTTTTCTCCTTTTCTTTGGCCACGCCCTTGGCACCCGGTGATGTATAAGTGGTTGGGGGTCACCACAACATGGGGAACTGTATTATGGGGTCGTGGCATTAGAAAGGTTGAGAACCACTGTTCTAATGCGACTAACAAAAAAGAAAAACACTTTATGTTTTAATTTTTTTACTACTGAATACTATAAATGGTACATCACACTTTGTAGGGTGTTTGGAAATGCTATGGAAGAGAAGGAAAGGCAGAACATCTGTATAACCAAACAAAAACTATGCTAGAAGTGCTTCTAGAGGGTCCGTCAGATAATTTATTAGCTCTCTGAGAGCTGAACACGCACTCACCATAATGATATGTAACTACTGGTGCTGGTTATTTTAACCATAAGGTTATTTAATGGAGATAGCTATCCCTTTGCTAAGAAGCCATTCAGATGCTAAAGATGGTGTGATGCATTTAGTCATGTTCACAGATTTTACATGGACCAATAACATAAAATATAGTTGACTAACTGTATTTCACAATAGCTTGGTTTGTGCCATTCGTTGCCTGTAGCCTGTCAATGAAAAGCCTGCCAACAGGAGGCAACAGAACAATGCATGACAATGGGATAACTATTGCTTCAGCTACTTGTGATATTTGGCCTTAGAAAGCTACATTTTTTAGACTGCCTATGGAGTGCGCCATGTTGCTCCAGTTACAAATCTCCCCATTTAATTCATACTCTGATAACATGCCAGATATATTTTGCTGCCAAAGTAATCAACCTGCCTGTGACATATGTTGTTGGTACAGTCAACTCCAATTCCCACAGGATGGTAGACTTAAGAAATTATTTAAAAAAAAAAACTTCAAGAAACTAACATGCTGCTAACAGTTCCCTCTTCGGTCCTGAGCGTCTTGCAAAACATGGTATTTTGCATTCCTCAAAAGTGCATTCATTGGAAAACTTGAGCTGTGCAAATCTGCAAATCTTATCTCTCATTTAAAAAAAAAAGTAACCAGACTGGTTGTGTATATTTTTGAACCAGGTTGAGGTGCTTAATTTTTCTCCTACAATTAATTGCTAGGAAAACAGGTTTTGAATGGAAGCTGAGGCACTGAAGATTGGTAGCCTCCAATAAGATAACATCTACAAAAGGAACACACTGCTTTGAGTATTACACCACTCTGATGAAACAGAATTCCTGTGCTAAAATATATATCAGCTAAAGGTAACACCTTTATGTACAAGGGATTGTAGTATAGCATTTCTCAATGTCTTATTCCCAGCTTGCTCAAATTCCTGCCTTTTATATTCCCTCCAACCTACTTCCTCAGTGTTCACATAATAAAAATGCCAGCCTTGCTGCCCCCACACCATCCTTTCCTCTGGAATTTACTACTTGGATTAGCAATGAGTATAAGCTACTCTTCCCCCTTGCATTATTTCAGATCATATGGTCATTTTTTTTTAACAAATAGAAGGCTGTTGGATTTTGCTCTAGTCTAGGACAAAGGGCTCGCTCTGTCGGCATCTTATCGCCATCCGTGACACGTGCCCAGGGAAAGAAAAAGCCCTTTAGGATTCATCCACCTCCTACAATGTGCAGCACTTCTTACCCCCTTGCAGGATGGAAACAGGTCAGGGGGAGGGGGTACTTGATAAATTTGGTGATGTTTGTCGTTGAAGGGGATTGCAAGTCCTGAAGGAAAATATACCTCTTTTTGCTTTTTTGTAGTTCTTTTTTGTCATTTTTTTTCATTTGCTTTTGCATATAACATTAAATATTGTCGCTTACAGTATTACATGCAAATACATGCTGGCTTGGAAAATGCAGATTCTAAATAGTTTAGCTCGGTGGTGCTATTCCTTACGTTTTTTTTTTTTGTCTGTATCAGCAGCATTTGAAAAAAACCCAGGTGTCCCATACTCAAGTGCTCAGTGACATGTCCTATATTTTCTTGTTCCAGAAGAAACATAGGGAAGGTGTCTTTCCCTGTGCAGTCGCCAACAAATTATCTGATTCTGTGGTTAAAGTATTCTTTATCGATTGAAAAATAGATTTCTTTTTCCTGCATTCTCTTGGCTGTTGTTCTCATATCTCTTTGTTTTCCCCACTCTTGGTTTTTTTGTTGTTGTTTTTTGCAATCAGAACAAAAGAGCATTCCATCCCAACTTTGGATGGAAACAGGAAAAAAAATCACAGTGAAAGCACCCACCTCAACAAATAGTGCTCCGTTGTCCTTTTCGGTGTGTGGAAAAAGAAACAAACAAAAGAGAAGAAAAGAGAGAGAGAGGCAAAAGAAGGAGGATGGTTCTCTAGATTCTCCTTCAAACCTAGTCAGATGCTGGAGTTGCCTTCTCCTCGACCCCATCCTGGTCTCTGCGCTCACCCTCAGCTCTTTCATCTGTGGGAACTTGGTTATTCTTGGATTATCTACATCATAGGAAAGTCGTTATCATGCATCCAGGCAGAAGGGAGAGTCTGATCTTATTGCTTGTGATTGATGGAAGATCCATGCACAGAACAGAAGAACAATTCCAAGGAAAGACAGAAGACCCAAGGCAGATGAGTGAGTGGCCTTCTTTGGAGGAACGGGGGGGGGGGGGTCCATGTGTTTAAAGAACCAGAACCACTTATTAAGGAAATAAGGAGAGTTAAGAGAGAGAGAGAGAGAGAGAGAGAGACAGATAGAGAGACTGGAAATATTCATGAGGAAAGATTTAACAGAGAGATAGATTTTTCTGTGGGAAAGGTTCAGAGATAGATAGGAAGGACAGAGAAACCAAACATAGAAAACAAGGTGCAGGCCGAGAGACACAAAACAGAAGAAAAGGAAGAAAGGAAAGAAAGAAGGAAGGAAGCCTCTATGGCTCATTAAAGTCCTGAGTAAGATGATGAAAAGGGAAAGAGCATTAAACAGAGAGAGAAACTGCAAAGCCAGGGCCAGAGAAATTCTGTGCAGTCTGGTAAGGTGGATGAAGGGAAGGATGCAGAGAATCCAGACAGGAGGGCCTTGGGCTCTTTCCTGCAATGTCTGTCCTTGACACATCTCCTCTCCTGCTTTAGAGTGTTTGGATTTTCAGAGCAAACCATCCCTCACCCTTCCTCCCGCAGTAGATGCTTAAGCTGTACTCCTGATTCAAAGCTACAGGGACCGAAGGCTTCAGGCCTCAGAATTCTCATGGATGCTCCAGAAAGTGCAAATTTAGTGCAACACCACTTGTATAGGTGTCTCCCGCATTTCGTGTGTTCCAATGCATTTGGCAGATTGTGTTTTCTTTGCCTTTAACTCTGCCCACCCCTATTTTTTGGCATTACCTTTTCTTTTTCTTTTTCCTTTTCCTTCTTCTTCTTTTTTTAAAGAAACAAACATACAAGCTAACCCAAGCATTCCTGGTGTGTCTCTAGAGTATGGAAGGGATGGGCGAGCGAGGACGTCGGACCGAACCAGGTGAGCCAAAGGAAGGGGGTGCTGGAGATGGAGGTAGACCAGCAATGCTGTTCAGGCTGTGGGACTTCTCATAGCCTGTGGGGAGTGCTGTCAGGAAGGAAGGAAAGAGACGAGAGAAGTGAGTGAATGAACAAAACACATGTCTGGTTAAGACTTAAAGGCACTCTGTCAGGCAGTCTCAATAGCATAAACAGGATGGGGGGAAGCTACTTTCTGCTATGCTTCACTGATAACTTTACACTGATTCAGATCTGCTCCATTTACCCCAATGTTGGTTGCATTTAAAAAATTGAGGTTTCATAATCATGATTTCTGAAGAAGCAGCTTTTTCTCCTTCATTCCCAATTCCTCATCAGCTGCAGTGATACTAGCTATATGGTCCAAATTGGGGCACTCTGATTTTAGTTTGTTTTAATTAAAACAGCTTTTTACTAATATGAAGTCACGCTTTGTGGAGGTTTAGAGCAGTCTAAGCAATTTGGCATGCTTTAGAAGTAGCATTCTCAATACAATTGGAAGGTGGTTGTTGAGAAAGGCTGGTTTATGGAATCACCCCTGAATACTAGTGTCTATTCCCACCTTTGGCACAGTACAAATGTGTGGATTTCTACTCCTGAAATTCTCAACAATGGCTGTGCAGATTGGGGCCTTCTAAAACCAAATTTTGTGCTGTTTCAGTCCTTCCATACTGCTATTTAGATAGCTATAGGGCAGTTCCTAGATCAGCAGAGGTCACTAGATACAACAGCTAACTAGCTATATAAAACTGCTAAATCTGTTTGAAGATATTTCCAATGGGTGACCTACTAAAGCCAGTCAAAAGGCATTAATGTAACCATTCCTTTTCATTCTTTTTTCAGTGCTTTTTTAAAAAGTAATTTACAGATAGAAAACAAGGTCATCCTGATTTCTGCTCCTTTAAAATGCTATGAATAAGGCAGACTAATTGCCTACTGAAAACATTGTCTGGAAACACCTTATTCCTTCACTTTAGACCTTAGCCTGCATCCTTACCAGCATCTCAAACCACCAACTGTGACAACCCATGCCATATTCTATAATGCTGTACTGTATAATAATTGATTCCAAAATAGCCTTAAGTAACAATTATTTAAATCAAAACAATATTTGTAATTATCTATTGATCAGTGCTTTGTCTGGTCTGTATTGTTCCATCTGGGCTTCAAATGAATTCTTGCTTTCTTCCCAGTAGTACCATAAATTAATCTCTCCTCCAATCCCACATGTAATTCTTCCTTCATCAGACCCTACTGGGCCTGGGTTGCCTGGCTGCTTTCATTACAATCAAGGGGACAGCTCTGGGACGGCAAAGTTGGAAATGGGTTGCCCCATGCTCTCCACCTGAATTGAAAACTATTAGCAGACAATTGCCTTCTGATCAGGATATCTGTTTAAAGTTTAGAGATTCATGAATCCTTGGATTATGGTCTTTTCAGTTCATGTCAGTCTAATCAATTAGCCTAATAACATTTTGTCAGTTCATGTCTATTTTTATCTCCTTTTTTGTTATGTAATTATTCCATCTTGATGGAATAATCTTAATGGGTTTCTTGATGGAACCAGAGTTGGTTGGAATGGGACTCTATCATAGGTATCCCTGTGGGGGGGGGGGGTGTCGAAAAGTCAACATGGTGGTTACAAACATGTGATTTGAAGCTCTGCCCCTTTTAAGTTTGTCACAGCGTATGTGAAAAAGGGATGGGATTTCAATCATACCGTTATAGCTACCATCTTGATTTTTTTTTACTTCCCACATCTGGACACCTCTGGAATAGAGTTTACTGTTGCAGATGGGAATGGTTCCCCCAAATAAGATCCATCTTCATCCAAAAGTAGAATGCCAGTAAAAAGACTATTAAAAGTGTTCTCAGACACAGATTTTTCCCTAATTCAACTGATTTATAGTGGCTAAACTTTATAATCTTGCTTGGTATCTATAATATAACCCACTCCCAACTCAATCATTCCAGAATATATAAAAAACAGGGAGAAAAAAGGGCATATCCTGCATAAGAAAGGGAAAAAAAGTTTGCAGGTTTAAAAAATGCACTTATTATCCTCAAGAAATAAAGTCTGATAATTATAGGGATCACAGATTGTATAGAGGAGGAATTTAATCTGAAAAACCCTTTTGCTGCCAAAGCAATTCCCACCATGACTTTCCATTCTGCCCCCTCTCCTAAAAACCTGTTTTCCCCTTATTTCACATTTATGTAGAAGATCCTCACTGTCACGATTTACATGCTTGCTATACAATTCACAGCTGATTGTGCAATAAAGACAAAACCATGCAGGCCACACTTGCATATGACAATATATCTGTTGAGGAGATGTATGGGACTTGAACATGTTATGACTTAAGTGTTTTGTGTATTTCATACAGGCAAGTAGCAACTAGGACACTAAAACCTGTTTTTGTTCACTACATATTTATTTATTTTTTGATTATAAAATTTATTGGCTGCCCATCTTACCATAAATGACTCTGGGTGGCTTACAGTCGATAGATAGATAGATAGATAGATAGATAGATAGATAGATAGATAGATAGATAGATAGATAGACAGATTTTTAATTCTTGCTTTAAATTAATTTATTATTATTAATAATAATAATAATAATAATAAAGTTGGAAGGTATCTTGGATATTCACACACACACACACATATATATACATACATACATATACATATACATGATTGTGTGGATCACAACAAATTGTGGCAAGTTCTTAAAGAGATGGGAGTACCAGACCATCTCATTTGTCTCTTGAGAAACCTATATGCGGGTCAAGAAGCAACAGTGAGAACCGAACACGGACCCACTGATTGGTTCAAAATTGGACAAGGAGTCCGGCAAGGCTGTATACTGTCGCCCTGCCTATTTAACTTATATGCAGAGCACATCATGAGAAAGGCAGGGCTAGATGAATCAAAAGTTGGAATTAAGATTGCTGGGAGAAATATCAACAACCTCAGATATGCAGATGATACCACTCTAATGGCAGAAAATGAAGAGGAACTAAAGAGCCTCTTGATGCAGGTGAAGAAGGAGAGTGCAAAAGTTGGCTTGAAACTCAACATTAAGAAAACCAAAATCATGGCATCCGGCCCTCTCAATTCTTGGCAAATAGATGGGGAAGAAATGGAGGTAGTGACAGATTTTATTTTTCTGGGCTCAAAGATCACCTCAGATGGGGACGGCAGCCAAGAAATTAAAAGACGCTTGCTCCTGGGGAGGAAAGCTATGGCAAATCTAGACAGCATACTAAAAAGTAGAGACATCACCCTGCCAACAAAAGTACGTATAGTCCAGGCCATGGTTTTCCCAGTTGCAATGTATGGCTGTGAAAGTTGGACCGTAAGAAAGGCTGAGCACCAAAGAATTGAGGCCTTGGAACTAGGGTGCTGGAGAAGACTCCTGCGAGTCCCCTGGACTGCAAGGCGATCAAACCGGTCAGTACTAGAAGAGATCAACCCCGACTGCTCTTTAGAAGGCCAGATCCTGAAGTTGAAACTCAAATACTTTGGCCACCTAATGAGAAGGAAGGACTCACTGGAGAAGAGCCTAATGCTGGGAAAGATTGAGGGCAATAGAAGAAGGGGACGACAGAGAATGAGATGGCTGGATGGAGTCACTGAAGGCAGTAGGTGTGAATTTAAATGGACTCCAGAAGATGGTAGAGGACAGGAAGACCTGGAGGAATGTTGTCCATGGGGTCGCGATGGGTCGGACACGACTTCGCAATTAACAACAACAAAATACATATACATACATGAAGATGAGGCACGACCACGAACACGAAGCCAAAAATAGCAAAGCAGCCCACCATCTTAAACCCCCTGCACTTAGACTAACCTGAGCACAACAAAGCCCCCACCCAAACGGAACACTCCCCATCCAATCAGAGCACAGCCAACCCCCCAATCCAATCAGAGCACAGCCAACCCCCCCATCCAATCAGAGCACAGCCAACCCCCCATCCAATCAGAGCACAGCCAAACCCCTAACCAATCAGAACACACCTCCACCCAATCAGAACACAGCCAAGCTCCCACCCAACCAGTTCATACACCCACTGGCAGTTAAAAGGAAGAAACAGCTAAGACCACACATTGCTCCATGAAGCACGAAGCTGAAAACACCAGCCTGAAGATGACGAATGGGACTTCGTCGAAACGTTGCCAAGACACTTCCAATTTTACGCCGGAGAAAACCCGAATAACCAAAGACCTACATACATACATACATACATATACATACACACATTAAAATTAAATTAAATTAAAAGCAAGAATTAAAAACCAAGGACCTGTGGGGAGGGCAGGGGCAGAATGGGGGAGGTGGGATCTGTTGGGATCTGTTGTTACTCGATGAACCACTTCCATTGCGCTGTTCCTCTATTGGGGCCCTAGGCCAACTAACAGAGCCAAGTCTTTAGGCTCTTACAGGTAGCCCTTGACCCATGGTCTTAATAGAGCCTACCCAATATAGAACCTGCCATTTTGGTCACAAATCATAAGGGTCGTTAAGTGAGGCAATCACATGATTGTTCCATTTAACAACCCCCACTTCTCCCATTCCCAATGGGGTCATTAAATGGAGCCTGGGGTGCCTCAGGGGTAGGGGAAGCCCTGAGAGGCCTAGCGCAAGCCTAGACCTGTAATGCAGTACCTTTCTAGCTCACATGCAGCCTACTCTGGGCCTCCCAAGGCTTCTCCCACTTCCTGCTTTGCTTCCTGCCCCATTAGGCCCCACAGGCCTTGGGCCCCACATCCCGCTCCACAGGGCCCCACACCTTTGTCTCCCTCCTGCCCCCGCTCCCAATGGAAGGGATATTTCATTGTGCTCATCACATTGGGCAAGGACCATAATTCATTGTAGCTGCTCTGAAAATGGTGTTTACTTCCAGGACAGAATGACACAGCCTAAGGATGCTGAAGTTTGGAGAGGCCTGCTCTCCTTTCCCAGCTCAAGGTCCTGAGCTCTTCCAAAGATAAGTGCACAGTCGGCTACAAGATTCATTGGTTATAGCTCACAACAGACTCTTGGTAGCATTATCTATA